ACGCTCCTCGCGGGCGCGGGGTGCGGTGGCCGCGAGCATGGCAGGAAAACAAAGCTGGGTTGCGCGGGGGAGCGAGAAGCCCGCGGCCTGGGCATCCGGGGACAGGCGGTGGTGCCGACATCGCGGCCTCCGGCGCCCGGGCCTCGCCTGCCCTCAGCCCTGCGCTCCCGCTCAGAAGATCCGGGGACCTGTCTCGGCCGCCCGGGGAAGGGTGGCGAGCAGGGGCGGGGGCGCGTGTGCACGGGAGATGCCGGGGCTCCCGCCCGACCGCGGGCGCGCTCACGCTGGTGCGGGCGGAAGGAGGAGAGGCTCGAGGCCTCCCTGTCGCGTCCCGGGTAGGCGCTGCCTCCGCGACCAGCCTGCCGAGCTCCGGGTGAAAAACCCCACGCCAGATCCGGCAGGGCGGCGGCTACGGCGCAGCTCACACCCTAATTCCACCTCCCCAGACAAAGCAGCAGGAAGGGCCTGGCTGTTCAGAGGAAGCCTCATTCGGCCTCTCGCTCCAAAGGGGCGCGCTCGAACCCTAGCTGGGAGCTTCGGCCTAGTAGGCTCCGCATATGAGTCCCAGACATGGCTAAGGAAAGACGGATCTCTCCTTCTCCTCGCGCTCAGAACGCCTGCCTCGGGGCTCAGCAGCCCAAGCATCTACAGACACACACACACACACACACACACACACACACACACACACGCCACTCCCATCGCATCAGAACGCGCGCTCATGACCCTGCTGCTAATGAAGCCGGCGCGCATAAGTGCACAGGTAAACAGGTACCGAAACAGAAGCCCCCACCGGTCGGCTGGGCGATTTACCTCTCCCTACAGGGCACACGTGTCGTTATCGTGTTTTAGGAGTGATTTGCTGTTGTCTGTATTCTCCCCCTCCTCTTCTTGTGGAGAGATGCCAACACAAAAAATACCCCCAAAACCCTTATGTTCCGATGTCCGAGTCTTCTTTCTGATAAGCTATCCGAGCAAGGGACTCAAACATTTGGGGATCTGATTGGGTGTATCTGTTGTTTGGGCTTGTTATTTTGGGGTGTGCTGCTTTTCTGCGGGAAGCAAAAGAACGTGTGTTTGGTGGGGCTGGAGACGCAGGAGGAGAAATTCTGGCGAGGCCGGGGGCCGTGCAATGCAGAAAGCAGAAGATCGCTCGTGCTCCCCCGGGGCCGTCCCAGCCCCCCGGCACCTGCGGCCGGGTTCGGCCGCCGCCCGCGCTCTCGGGCTCCGCCGGCTGCCGCTCCGTGTTTTCCCCCATCCCGGCTTCACGTTCAAGGTTTAGCTGCGAGGTCACGTCCATTGACGTCAGCTCCCTGTCTCCCTCTACGTCCGGCTACATTTACATACATCAAGGAAATTAGGGCATTAAAAAAATATGCAAATCCTGCGCGGAGAGGAGCGGGTGCATTCCTGGCGCGATCGCCTTTTATTGAAGCTTTTAATTAAAGGGGCCAGTTGGCGAGCCCCTGAAACAACCGCCAAAACCCCCCAAAAGAGAAAAATAAACGCTGTAGCCTTCGGGAACGGTTGTTTCGGCTCCTGTTCTGTGGGCGGCTGAGGACCGCCGGCTGCCCGGCTCGAAGAAGAACAGGTTAGAGGAGGCAGCTCCAGCCCATGCATAATCAGGGCTCCGCGGCGCCTCCATTCTTTCCTCCTCCTCCTCCTCCTCCTCCTCGTCCTCCTCCTCCTCTCCTCCTCCACCTCTCCTCCTCCTCCTCCACCTCCTCCTCCTGCTCCCGCTCCTGTTGGTTCCAGCGTGTATTATTTTTAATGCTGATGCATATGTAAAGGTATATTTGCATTTTTTAATTCGCGAAAATTTCAGGTTGTGTCGTTTTCTTGGTTCTCCTCCCCCCTATTTTTTGGTATTTTATTATGTCTATCTGTCTCTCTTGTCCCTTTCTGTCTTTATTATTATTATTATTATTATTATTTTGGCGAGTGTCTGCTGCTGTCTCTTGCTAGATAATATACACAGTTACCGCCCTGCTTCTGTTTACTTAAGGTTACAAATATGCACATCTGTCATGTATGCAATGCCAGCTGTATTACCTACTGGTTTAGTCATAAAAGAAAAGACACATTTTTTTTTCCCCCTGACATATCCCTCGATGGGCTGTAATGCCCATCGCTCAAGGCTCAAAGTTTGATTGTCTAATTAACTTCCTATTAGCAGAAACACCGTTTGGGGCCAGTGCTTTGGAGATAATGTATGTATAAGTGAAGTGATTCCAAAGATTTCTAAAGAATGTATGTGCTGATTGACTGAGAGAGGTGCGGCATCCACCGCCCTATTGCTTTCTAGCATTTCTTATTGCAAAAAAAAAATCTATTTTAAAATGTGTAGACACAGCAATGGACAGCCTTTTGCAAGGAAGACATTTTCAACCATGTTGTATGTTGCACCTTATCTGCTGCATTCGAAATTTATTGAGTTTCATTTGTATCTTAATATGGCTGGAAACAAGGTACATTATCTTGATTGAAAAGCATCCTTAATTCTTGTAATGAAAACAAATACACAAATAAAACAGTTGATTGTGTTAAGCTGGTTGATATGCCCTCAAATATACAGGCCTTGAGTTAGATTTCAAGCAATGGTAATCTTGTTTATAGGTTCAGATTCTCCTTCCTGGTAATCTAGCTATTCATCACGAGGGCTTTTGGAAAAAATGTGTGTGTGTGTGTGTGTGTGTGTGTGTGTGTGTGACATATATATTCCAGTCTTATAATTCCACTCTTAAAATTTCCCTGAAGCTATCATATTAAAAAGACTCGATCCACAATTGCATAGCCACAAAGAACAGCAAATATACACACAAACAGCTTATTCAATTAAACAGGTCCAAGTACATGCACAGGTAATTAGTTTTCTTATGAATGACTTACCTGCACAGATACTCAGGGAAGGACTCGGCCCTCCCCAATGGCTTTCATGCATAAATATTTACATGTATGGCCCCCCATTTCAAACCCACAGCTGTATTCCGTCTTTCATGCTGGACTACCCAGCAACCATTTTTAGCACCCTTAATTCGTATGGCATTTCCAGCCTTACCTCAGGCTGTAGTTTTTCCAAGCCTACACCAAAGTGCTCATATGATATGTCACCCAATAAAAAGTGGTCAGATGGCTACACGTAAAACATGAAAAAACGGCAACACACTCATCCTTCAGGTTCGCCCTTACCTTACCATATATAGCAAGATTACGTTGCCTAAAGTACATTTTCAGCACATTTTATGAATAATTGCAGGATTCCACAACTGGTTGCAGGATTGCTGGTTTCTGGGGTGCACCTGACTGAGTGAGACCATTCAGCAGGCTACATGTCTCTTTGAGTTTGGCTGCAATTAAATCGTCTCTTTGAGTTTGACTGCAATTAAATCGTGCATTGCTGTTTGTGCCTGCCTGGGTTCTCGTCCACACCTGCCCGCCTTTATGCAGGATCCGGACAAACACACCCGCCACGGTGCAGGGCATAGAGTGTCGGTGCCTCCCTTTCCATGGCAGTGGCGAGGAGTGTGTGCATGCACGACTGTCTGAACATGCATGTATGTACAGACGCGTGTATGTGTGCGCGCGCGCTGTGTGACAAGGAACACAGAGAGGTACACCTCTTATCTCTGATCTCTCTGTAATCTCCTTTTCTGTTTCTAATCTCCCTTACTGGCGCATGGTAGGACCCCGAAGCGTGCGAACCGTCACCGTCGCTGCCGTGTGCGCGCTGTGGCTTACCCCGAG